AGACGAGTAGTTGAACGGGTGCAGCAACAGAAAACGCCTGGCATGAATAGAAACAGTCGAGTTCTTAGACTTCAGAGCATGTTTAGCTTCTACAAGCACAAAGCAGCTGTCAGTGTAGATCTGCACCCACTATATCTATAGATCTATAGATATATGTACAGATAGATAGATCTATAGATATATGTATAGATATCTATCTATCTAGCGCCTTGATAAACGGCTATTTTTGATACGAATACTGTAGTTTCTTACAGTGAGAGATTAGAGTCGAGGCGAGCCGACCATCGTGACCTCAGCCCTCGGTATGGAAATCCACAAGTCTGTCTCAAACAAGTTCAAACTTCACTTGATCACCAGTTATCGTTTAACTGGGTCTAAAGAGCGCAGACGTTCGCCAAAGTGAAAAATGATTTGTGTATCTGCGCCGTGATTCGGCTCCGACGGCTTCTTGCTCGGTTTGGTGCTCCACCTTCAACCAAGGTTCATGAAAAGCGGGCTGGTAGGTTTAAACAAACAAACCGAACTGAAACACAAAAGCTTTGTGGCAACAAAGTAAGCTTTGAGAAGTATGAAGTATGAAGAAAGATATTTCAATAAGTCGTCCAATAATACAAAAGTAACGACGATGATAAAGACAAACGAGAGAGAGTCGGGATGAAAGCAGAACAGATTCAATCATCAGTTCATCCAGTCCTTCAGACTGCTGGAAGCAGCATTAACGTCGGCTGTCGAGCGTCTAAATCTTCGTTTCATTGAATATCAGTGTTGAGTTATCAGAACTTTTGTCTGAAGCTAAAGAAGTGACGAGCTAAACGCATCAGAGAAAGCAACAGCTGCAGCCGCGCAGTTCAGACAGGAAGTGAATTCTCGTCTTGACAGCTGAACCGTTTGTGTTTTAATCGCCAACCAAACAACCAAATGTACCAACTCTAGAGACCAGAACACGTTCTTAGCTCAAGTTGAAGCATTTTGCATTCATTTCTCCCGACGACGTGTCTGAGCAGCATTCGTAGCCGTAATGTGTAGATATCCCACAAATGATTGAGTACGTTATCCTGCTGATCCGCAGTTTGTTCCTCGTGTGAAACGAAAAGTCAACGTCGATGTTCTTGTCATGTAACTTCAGTAGTTGTTTTAACTCAAACAAGGTTCTTTTACGAAACCTAACCGAGTCGTTTTGTTGCCTGAGCCCAACGTAGTTGTTTCCTTTGTAGACAGAAGTTCATTTTGAAAAGACTGTATTCATGTAAAGAGCAGAAATTGACACGTGTTGCGCACAACAAACGAGGAATAACTACGTGAAATATCATTCAAACCATTGAACACACAGCTAGAAGAAGATTAAACTTTCACTGAAACAGTACATGACTGTGAGATGATGACATCCACTTCTTCTTCGAGAGAACCACAGACTTTCCCCTTCGTAAGATTAGGAAACACTTTGTAACCGAATCACGGAGTAACGTACGACTCGCTGAGGTCACAGATGGGACTCAGCCAGTCCTGATCCAGAGCACGGCTCCCTGATCCCTATCGAGGCTCTGCAGAGACTCCGAACCGAGACAGAAACACAACACATTCACCAAAACCGATCACTGCTGCATGGAGGCACTCGGGGCTTCTTCCATGTAAGGCTTTCAGAGGGTAAACATTGACCAAGTGTTAGCTCACGGTACGCCGTCCCAGCTGGCCCCCACACTCTGGTTTAGGTCATCCAGTTGGGCCTCGCCGTAGAGTCGGCTTTGCTTGGCTCCACTGAACAATCAACCACACTTATTGCTGAAGACCTGCTGGACAGACTCGATGAAACATCCCTCACTGTGGGAAAGTGTTGATTTTACAGAACAACTTACTGAAGCGTCTCCTGCAGGATTAGCTCAACTACACCATTTGTTTCCTTTCTAACTTGTGTTTTTTTGTCAGTTCTTGTAAACAGTTTGCAGACGATGTTAAGTGTGAGTTTGTTAAAGGGATCATTTGACATTTTGGGAAATACGACCTCACAGCCGGTAACTTCATGTTCAAACCACGAGGTCACCGCTTCATGTCCCCTGGAGAGAAGCTGAAACAGAGAGAGGTTGGTGGTAACAATCCATTGAGCCACGTTGGAGATTTCAACGTCCAAAGCCAAGAAAACTGTGTTGCACATTTAAGGATGTAGGTTTCAAAGAGTGAAACATAAATAAGCTGGAAGTTGGAAGTGATTTCAACATATTGACCCCAAAAACAGACTGAAGTCTCCTTCATGCGTCACATTTAGAGGATGTTGAGCTGGAGAACATAGATTTCTGTTTGTGTCCAGATAAAAGAAATAGTTCATTAATACAACTAAGAGATTGACTGACACCACTTTCATATCTCTGTTAAATATAAGGCTTCAGCCGATTAGCTTAGCTTAGCATAAAGACACAGCTAGCTTAGCTCTTTTAAACTAAATCCACAAACAATCAGCTCTAAAGTAACTCAGTTGTTTTACAGATTAAAGAAACTATGTAACATGTTAATCAATGTTTGTTTTATTTCAAATGTTAGGCTAGCTGTTTCCCCCTGCTTCCAGTCTTTATGCTAAGCTAAGCTAAGCTGACCGCCTGCTCGCTCAAGCTGCATATTAAGCGTATAACACTTAATTTCCCAAAATGTCAAACTATTCCTTAGAAATCTAAAGAAACGTCACATCTGTTGCCTTTTATTTGATGTATAATCTGACCGACTTGGCTCGTCTTGTTCATGACTGCAGCGTTCAGAGGAAACCTTTAGGACTCAAAGACAGGACAATAAAACAGTTCATAAACCTGGACCCTGCGTCTCATTGACTTCTCCATTTATCCACAAAATACATCACGGCCACTTACGAGCAACCACGCTGCAGCTCAGCTGAAGAGAAGCCAGCAGAGCTCAGGGTGGAGCTGAACTACAGAGCGGATCAGGTGGAGTTCCTGAGTGATGCAGTAATGTTTCCGGGAGGGGGGGGGGGCGCCGCTCGGAATACAATGTTTTCCTTTGCAGACGCACCGAGGCCATTCATGGTGCTGGAACTGAAGTACAGCAAAGAAAACACACACGGTGCTGTTTTTAGGACCTGAGTGACGGCGTGTCGCTGACGTGCTTCTTCTCATGTTGACTCATATTCCACCAAATGTAATCTGTTGGTTTTGTGGACATGGACACGAATTGTCTGGTTTTTTTTCGTGTTGCTGAGGACTAAAATAATACAGATGGAAAGTTAATGAGGAGCCTCCTTCATGGGGGACACACGCATGAAATGCATCTACGTAACTAAGCAACAGTCAGAGTGACGTATTTTATAATATTCAAAAAGACGATTATTGGTGGACGGACGAGTCCAACAAACCATTGATCCATTGATGAATATAAACTTTGCAGCGTTGTATCATTACAATGTGGGCAGTGTATGTGAGGATAGCACAGAAACAAGCTCAGTGCATTCTGGGAGTTGCAGGTTTTCTACCTTCTGAGCTGAAGGGAATAAAACTTCAGAATACCAGCACCTTCCTACCACCTAGTTGTATCTTTTCAGCAGTAAAATACTTCTTTAATGAAAGAATATTGATGAGAGCAGCTTTAAAGTTTCACGTCTTCAACGGGCTTGAAGCTGAGAGCCACAGACAGGAAGTCAGAGAGGAACGAATGTGTTGTTGGTTTTGGTCTTTTCACGGTTTGACAATAAGAAAAGTATAAATATAGTGGTATAAAATAAAACCACACAAACAACACGGGTTGTGTTATGATGTAATTGCACAAACAGCTGAGAAATGAAACTGAAACCAACATGGACATTTTTTTACAGTAACTCAAATGGAGAAAGAAACGATGATTACATAACAATAAGCTCTTGTGTCACAGATGCAATGAATGGAGGAGACGAACAATATGTAAAAAGGAAGATGTATGAATAGGAAAAAGGTAAAATGTACAAAGGTCACATAAAGAAATCTTGTTGCACATTTTTCACATTCCCTTTATTTGTTGGATTAAAATCACAGATTCCAGATCTGCGGCAGAGATCAACATCTAACAAAGCTTTTGTCTCAGAACTCAAAGATGGAACCTTTAAAACAATCGGCGGTGAATTCGTTGGATTGAAGACAAACATGATGAGATCTGTAAACAGCACGGAGAGTCGTCATTAACGGAACCACTTCAGTTCTAATGACCTTTATTTAATATCACAGTCCATTCGTAATGTTTAAAGTATACAATAAGTTAAATTCATATGGCTTCATATAGTATTTAGAATATATATATCCTATGATTAATAGCACACGCACATTCATAACAATCTCTTTAGCTCCGTGTGACGCCTTTTAAATCTCCCTTTTGTTTAAAAAAAGAAATAACTCAGCTAAAATATTTTGTACAAAAATCTACACGTGGAAATCAGCCAGAAACAATGGGTCATAATGAGCAGCAACAAACCGAAGGTCAACGAATTAAAATATGCGCTATGATAATAATTTAAAATGATGACTTCATGCTCTTTATAGTCTGTCAATAACACTAAAGACTACTGGGCTAGCTCTTCTAGGAGTGAATGTTGTCTTTTGGTGGTTTGTTCCCAAAATGAAAGGCACCCTGTGGAGCTATTGATCTGTAGTAACTCTACGGAGCAATGTCTTTAAAATAAGATCGACTGGGTTGAGGTCACTACATTACATCGGTCTGGGTATCGACAGAAATAACACAGTACTTTTGAAACAGCAACAGTGCTGACAGAGCTAACAGGACAACGTTATTATCTGTAATTGTTGCACAGCGCTGTGCAGCGATTAGCTGGCCTGTGGGACGCACATAGCTTCCATTCACATGATGGGTATCGAATGAAGTACTGGTATCGGTATCCCTTTAAGGGCACTGGCAGAGCCATTTTTTAAACGATACCCAGCCCTGGTTTTGGGTGATCAGATTGCAGTCAGATAATCCTTGAACACATGAGAGTACAGATGTGAATACACCCAAAAACACATTGTGATCGAATGTCTTTAACAACTGTAACAGGAAAATACGTCATCAAATCCACTGCTGGCCTTTTGTTCCTCCCCTTTTTTTCTCCAGTTGATTCTCAAATTATGTAATTTGTCTTCATCCACGACATCTGAACATTTAGAAGAGCCCATAGAGAAATTATACGAGTGCGTCAAACAAGTTTGTGTTTGCTTGATTTTGTCTTCTTTAAATTTCCGGCAGACTTGGTACAGGAAGTGCATCGCTGCCTCCAGTCGGTTGACAACAACGCCGCCTTTGGTTAAAAGACTACGGACCACTGACGTCAGAGCGCAACTTAAAATGACAATTTAAAGATGGCGGGTTTGTGCAGGATGTCCCGTTTTAAGATTCACCAGAGGGGCGTTTACTGACCTATTTTATATTGTAGAACTAAACGTTAGAATCTCTTCCTGTTTAGGGCGTTGAGACTTGAGAAATGATCAACAAATTAAACTTCTCACAAGTTTTACGGTTCAGATCCTAATATATTTCTTTTGGGGACATTGAAGTCCTTTGCGGAGCCATCGATAGACAGTTCAGTGCGTCTCTCTGTCTATCGATGCCTCTGGACCGACGTGTTCGGCTGCCACCGCTGAGCTGATTTACAAAAACCCACAAAAACCCCAAATCAGTGTCTCATCTGATCCTCTGTCTGCTGCTTCTTCTCCCTCAGGAAAGGGTTCCAGTGGTTCTGGAAGAAACTGTTACTCTGCTGCTGCTCTTGGGTCGGGTCGGGTTTCTGCGGACTCTTGGGGTGATGGACGTGGTGGTTATGGTGCCGTTTCTGTTTCTCGTTGCTCCGGTTGTTGCGGTGCCGGACAGTTAATGACTTGTGGTAGGTCGCGGCTGAGAAGACGGATCGAAAAAGAACAAACAGAGCGTTAAAAAGTCAGAAAACGTCTCTAGATGTTTAAGCAGCCTCGTGATTCTGAACCACAACAACTCACGGCTGGTGCAGGTGACTTTGGGCGCGTCCCATTGGCCGTTGGACCGGCAGCGGATGGTGGGGGCGCGTCTCTGGATGAAGCCCTGTTTGCAGTGGTAGCGGAGCAGAGAGTTGATCTCGTAGCGAGGCTTCACGGCACCAAACACTCGGGTGTCCTTCACCACGGGGGGCTGCCCACATGAGACTGATGGCAGGAGACAGACAGAGGAACCTCCATTTATTGATTCGATGGACACTTGGAGGCAGAGCAACAAGCTGTGAACACACCATTTAAGTAATATCCTCATAAAGTTATTGTGAACTTGTTTTATCCGTTTTTAGCCAAAAAACAGCTGCACTGATATCAGAAACAGGAACGTTTCAGACCCGAACGTTCTGTGTTTCCAGGTGAGCTTACCTGTCCCCTTCTTGCAGGTGAAGGTGAGGTGGTAGTTACACGGCACGTCGTTCCACTGTCCTCCCTCGTGCCAGATCATCACCACACAGTCCTCCCCCGACTGGAAGAAGCTGTCCGGCTGGTTCGGCCTCCAGTAGTCGTATTGCTGTCAGAACACACCATAAAATAAACTCTGACTTTTAGATATTACTTAATCCCGACAAGGACATTTCTGTTAAAACTGGGTTTCTACTTCATCATATTGAGAAACACAAGATGATTTCCACTCCATCGACTCTGCTCATGTGGGTATAAGAGCTAAAAGCAAGTATTTTTGGAAAGAAAAAGGAGTAAATGTGGCTTTGTTTAGTAAATTAGCCGATTAAATAAGAAATGGCTTAATGTCGTAGATCTAGTGACGTAGGGCCGTAGGTGAAAGGTCAATCTCCTGAGCGAGCCCATAAAGAGTAAACGCATAAAATAAGCTTTTTTTTGTTGTTGTTGGTTTTATTTAAATTAAGTTAAGCGTGTTTTCACTCCTAAAGATAAATACTGGGCTGCACAGCAGGTAGAGAAGTCCAAATAATAAATATTATTTCAAAGTATACAAGTATATATACTCGTTATATTGTATGATGTCATACACCTTAAAACACAGGAAAATATGACTTTATGTTCCTGTAGTGATATAAGTGAATGAAGCTGTTATTGCTGCTACACATGGTCTGAAGCAGAATATTTCGTTCTTTTTTCAATACATTGTAACTCTTGGACTGAGTTAATGAACTGAGCGCCGCATCGCTCGCCGTGTGTGTGACACAGATTGAGGCCATAACACGTTTCTGTAAGTTAGAAATAATAATAAGTTGAACGGCTTCGCTCTGAATGAAGCTTTGAGCTCTTGGGTAAAGCCCCTAATGACGTGAGGTTTTTAGGGCTTTTCTTCTACAAACTCAAACCAATCCGTCCATGCCGGTTCCCCTGAGGAGACTCCACACATGTGACAGGATGTAATTCACAGAGACACCAGACGGTGGTGCTGCTGAGTCGTCCACCTCTTCTAAGCCTCTACAGAGCTCTCTGTTACATACAACACGAACATATGAGCGACATGCTGCAGAAACATGCTCTCTACTGTAGAAAGTGTCACCTCTAGTACGGGTGGGCCTCTAAGTGATAACACGTTACAACAGCAGAGCCCCCCCCCCTCCAGTATCAGGTTTCCACAGCTTAATCCAGATCACATGCTTCAACTGCTGAACGTGAGAGAATTGTGTCATCAGGACAAAAAACAAGTTCCTGCCGAATATGAAATGTTGCTGCTAAACATTCCTAAACAAATGACGTCAATATCAACGTAATATTTTAGGCTTTACCTGTAAAAACCTGTTACAATGTATGATTAGTCTATTGTTTGTTTACAAACATCCCAGTTTTTAATTTGTATTATTTTTATCAATAAAATCATCAAATGTGTTTATTTCTAACAGGAAGGGGAGGGAATTTCTCCTCTCTATGCTAACATGCTGTGGTTTCACAGGTGTAATGCTCACCATGTTAGCATAGCATGTTAGCATGCAATTTGATCCCATCGGACTATCAAACAACAAACTCTGTCGTCTCAGCTCTGGAGCTTGTCTAGATGCTAACACGCTGAGGTGTATCGTTCACCATATTCCCCTTCTTAGCTTAGCGTGTTAGCATGCTAGCATTAGCTAATTAGCAGTTTAGCTCAAAAGTCCAGCCGAGGCTGATTGAATGTCTTCAGTTCTGCAGGTTTTTGGTCATAAACGAATGTATCGGAGACGTTAAAATGTTGAAAAGTCAGACGATTCATCCACAATGCTTCCAGTACTTGTTGAGATATTTGGGTTCTGGTGGAGCTAGTCTTCCTTATTTCATATAAAACGCTTTCTTTAGATGCTCGCGGTTCATCCACAGGCCGATGTTTTAAATCGTCTCACCATCGGGTTTCCGTCCGTCCACCTGAAGTCTCTCTCGAACATCTTGTCGTTGAGGCCGAGCCACTGGTAGTCACTGCCCAGACCTGCAGAGATAAACACTCATCAGAGAGGAACTTTATTTCATTTAACGTACAATAACAACATCAAACACTCCACCGAGCTGCAAGAAGAGAGAGCAGGAGATGATGTGTTTGAGGTAAATCAAGATGTCGTAAACGAGTCCATTTCATCTCAGTTCCCCCAATAAACTGAGAGACAGTTTACATGAAGCTCTCGTCTGCTCTGGTTGTGTCTGGAAACTCTTTGTTTTTATCTCACCAACAGTCATCTTCAGATTAGAGCTCAGATACGAGCGGCTTCTTTCCAAACAAAGTGCACTAAAACAGCTTTTAAAACTTTTAAAGATAGTCGTCTAGTTTTATCATCAAAGGGCACAAAAATAGTCTTAATATAGAATAAAGAAAATCAGGTTTCAGCTACTTGGGTCTGAGATCAGGAGTTTTGGTTCTACAGTAGAATCCAATGGTGCATCATGGGAAGTATCATTTATATTTTATTTATTTATTATAAAACTGTGTTCCTGCACCCGTACGGTAAATAATGTGAGTTAAACATAACGAGGAAGCAGAAATATTCACCATATGTTAATGACACCAATGTAAAGTGAATCTGGTGAGGTTGCTGCAGCCAGTGAACAGGAAGTGACCATATCTGGACTGAGGAGGAGTGACGTAGAGACGGCGTATACGTCTCTGGTAGAGACCTGTCAATCACCGTGTAGCCCCGCC